TATTCAGTTTCCATGTGTTTGCTCTTTTTCCATTGATTTTCTTGTTGATGTGTAATTTGATAGCATTGTGATCTGAGAAGATACTTTGTTTGCAGTATTTCAGTGTTTTTAAATTTACTGAGGCTTGCTTTTTGGTCCATAGGGCTTTGTAAAGTAGATTACCAGGCCTTATATCTGAGGTTCTTTTGGGTAGACTCAAACATCCAACCTTTTCAGTTACCATTAAGTGCATTAACCATTTAAGGTAGAGTCTGTTCTAAGCAACTACAGGAAAACTCTCGGGGAGCTGTCATGTCTATGGGTCATATAAAGCCTATTGAGCTTCTATGTCAGTTCTGCAGATTTTAGTGCAAGAGGGAAAAGCAAGCAAAGGACTCTTTCCCTATGATGTTTTCTCTGTCATCAGTGCTCTGAACTTTTTGGTTTGGAAAGCTGAAAAAGATCGTTTAGTTCACAGTCTCTGATGTAAAATGGCAAGAACTGAATGCATTTCAGAATTCAGAGGTTTTCAGATTTTAGAAAGGTAGTATACCATACATACCATATACTAATATTCCCAGTGGGATTTGGGACAGCATCCTGCAATCTAACACATTAATGTTTCTGCAGAAAAAAATATTCACACAAGGAAGAATAAAGGAAAAGTATTGTCAGCCTCATACCACATTTTGCTGCCAAATCCTTGGTGGCATAGTGCCTAAGGCACTTGACTGCTAACCAGAAGGCTGGCGGTTCAAACCCACCAGCCACTCCTCGGAAGGAAGACTGGGCAATCTACTTCCGTAGTGATACTGCCTCGGAAACCCAAGGTGGGGTCGCTATGAGTTGGGGCCGGCTCAATGGCACATAATAACAATAACAGAGATGTATTGTAGAACTAGAAACAGAGGAAGACAGATCTGGTCGCGTCCTGGTGATAGATAATAGTGCTGAATCACAGGACTGAAGATAAGTGATCTTCTGTCTGTCCTGTTCTACTCTTTTTTCTTTTCTGTAAAACAGGGTCATATTTGTCTGGGCTGTTGTGAAGATTAGATGTGTGATGATAGATGTTAAACACTAAACATAACTATTTGACATACCAAAATAAAAAATTAAACCCATTGGCATAGAGTCAGTTCCAACTCATAGAGGACCCCATAGGGTTTCCAAGACTCTATTGCAGAATTAGATGGCCTCATCTTCCTTCTGCAGACCTATTGATGGGTTTGAACTGCTGACCTGATTAGTAGCCACATGCCTTACCCACTGAGCCACTAGAGCTCCTTAACCATTGACATACCACCAGAGCTTCTTAGGTATTCAATAGATGTTAGCTATTAAAATCTCGGAAGGAAGGTTGGGCAATCTACTTCCGTAGTGATACTGCCTCGGAAACCCAAGGAGGGGTCGCTAAGAGTCGGATCCGACTCCACGGCACATAACAACAACAACATTAAAATCTAGCCTCCTCCCATCCTCCTTTCCTTTTATTAATTGAAAATTTACTGATACAGTGGTTGCAGTGCCACATGGGAATGTATTTTGTGGTATTTATCACACTGATTTCACCAAAGAATTAAAGTTCTGAATTTTTTGTTGAAAACTCATGTATTATTAAAAGATCAGTTGTTGTTGTTGTTATGTGCCGTCGAGTCAGCCCTGACTCATAGCGACCCCTCCTTGGGTTTCCGAGGCAGTAT